TGGCGGTCCAGTGTACTACATATCTTTGTTTCAGAAGCCATGTCCAAGCAATTGGAGAAAGATATACAGCTCCCTGTGCACACCATATATCTTATCCTCTCACTTTCAATATTTTACATCCTATTAATCTTTCATTAGAGTTGCCTTTTGAGAGCAGATATGCATGTCAGCTTTGTACTATTTTGGGGGGATTCGCAGGCTTTCTGATGTATTCATGCCCAGCGCTTACCATGAAACCAGAGAGACGGATTATTTTCTCCTACTGTATTGCTTTCATCCTCTTCCATCCTTTCACGCTTCACACATCCTTCTCAGACCATCTGGGGACCTGGCGGGTACAGCTAACCCTGCTGCCTCTCTCCCCTTATGCCTGACAGCATCACACTTATTAAACACGTTGCTGTGTGCTAACATCACTCACAGAGGCTGTATGGAACTGAAAGGCTAAGCTAACTGGTACATGACAGCCAACAGGAGCTTTAAAATACTGATTGCTTATTGTATTTGTATGCGGTCTTAAGAAAGGCTCTATCTGGTTGCATTGTGGGAAGTTTAGTGTAAAGTGTTTTTTGAGGAGCTTGAAGTCAGAATATCTGTTAATTTGTCACATTGATTTTAGCCATGCTAATGCTAACGGCTTTATGCAATGTTGTTTGGTCAGCAGGTCCCAGGTCACTTTGGTTCAGACTGAAATATCTCATCAGCGTTTAAAAGGATTGAGATGAAATGTCATACATTCATGGTCCCAAGAGGATGAACCCTTGAGACTTTGGCAAAATCTGTCCGAATGCTCGTCTGATTTACCATTCACTAGAAAAGTTGGAAAAGAAGATCAAACTTTGTTCTTTAAAACTACAATGTTCTTTGAAGGGGGTTAAGTGTTCCCAACCAATAAATAGTCAGAATGCTAACAACCTTTTCTATACATTATATTTCATCTATGCCCTTTACAATAATAATAAAACGTCGGTTTTTTGGAAAAGCCAAGTCAGAAAAAAAGGCTGCGCTTCAGAGGCTAAATGACTTCATGTGGCAATCATTTGGGAAACGTTTACAATCAATTGGTGATGATAATCAGAGTATAGATTAATGAATGTCCTTTTTCTACTCAAGTTTTAAGCTAAAATGTCAGAAAAACTCTATTCATATTAAGGATTTATACCTGCTTCTTCTCACGCATCAATAATCCACTGCACCACCATTTACAGTCAATACTTAACATGCAGCTGGGTAATGCATTTCCTAAATAATTGACGGTACAAGTTACATAAAAAATATATGACTCAGAAGTCTAAACCTCTTCTTGTAGCCTCATAATGCTAAAATACTGAGGAAAGAAAGAAGCTATGGTAACTACTGATAGCTAAAATAGCAGTTTCAGTTAAAAACCATCAGGTTTCTGTTCATTTTTGAATAGTTTTTAAATCCTGTAATGAAGTGTGAGTAACTTTGCCTCTCCCTTCTGTTTGGTATTCAGGGTAGTTTCATCTTCTCGGCTTTTTGGCATACAAACTCAGCCGAGAGGGATTATGTTTTTTGTTTTCTGGCAACGCATGGAGCTGGAGCGCTATGCAAGAAATGCTATTATGTAAAAATATGAAGCTTACTCTGCACTGTGGGACAGTTTGTGCCTGATTTTTACCATTCGCACACACACCATGCATAAACGAATATCTGCAGCGTTTTAAAGGTCATTTCAAACATTTGGGAGGTTCTGTGCTGGAGTGAAACTGTTATCTGATATGCACAAAGCTCATAATGACCTACAGAATGTCGATATTTTCAGATATGAGTAGATAATGTCAATGTCACAAGTTTCACCATATTGTCAAGAGATTTCTTTTGTATCAGACAAGGACATCATTAACATAAAATACTTCATTTAATTTATTTTTAGCAGAAGGAAGAATAGGTAAACTGGCACATTCCTGCAAAGCATGGACATCCTTGATGGCTTTTAGGAAGTTGCCAATTCTGGTGTTAGATATCAGATTGAGAGGAGACCAAAATAGGATGCAAGTATTGATCTGATACCAAGTCCTTCTGAGCATTGTGAATGTGACTCATTCCACACTTTATTTTAAACACTGTTAATTAAAAATAAAAATAATCCAAGTTTCTGATGGTCAGTTTAATAATTACACCTCTTTTTCTTGAGAAAAACAATTAAACAGGCAATGAAATAATCAGTTTCATATACAAGACTATGTCCATGCCACCTTAAAGAAAACATCCAATCAGAGTGATTCAAGACCTGTTGTTTTGCAGCTATTGGTTGACTATTTGTAAAGGTCTTTGGATCAATTCATTTATTTGAGTTTTCTCCTTCAGATTTGGTTTGATGCCGGATCAGAGATTTCTTCCTGATGCAGCGACAAAGCTTGAAACCAGCCTTGTAGCACATTTGCTCTTCCTGCTGGCTCATGTATTTGTTCAGATACTCCTGTGTTATATGGTTAACATTTTAAAAGTGAACTTTCAAATGCTAATTTACATCCAGAAAAGTACTTTTAGAAGATGTTTCTCAACTAGTGTGCTTTGTGTGCTCTGTAGCAAGACTTTTCTCAAAATAAAGCAATGCAATCTTGTTTTGTTCTCATAAATCTGCCCTAATGTGCTCTCAGATCTCGACTTGAAGATTGATTCCCCTCGAATATGTTTAATGCTCACTTGATGCTAATACTGTGGGATGACTTTTGATCGTAAGAATCCAAATAGAATATGGTTGCAGGGATTTCCGTTCTTTTACATTCACTAATAAAATAATACAGTTTTAGTTAGAAGGAAAACATCCAAATTATAATTTTTTAAAACATCTGTTCATTACTCATCCTGGTTGTAGTTTTCTTACCTTTTTCCTACCTTGACATGACCCCTGAACACTCATCTTTTCACAAATCACCTCAACTTTTCCCCCACTGAATCCCTACAGATACATCTCCACGATTTAATATCCGATATAACCTCCTATCTAAGAGTAAAAAACCTTCTGCCTGAGCTCTAATTTCTCTTATTTCTGCACTGACGCCTCTTCACTCCCACAGAAGCACTCAGGTATCCCGGGAATAGAGCCGGTTTACGGCAGCTCTGCCGCTTCACAAACCATCTGAATGGTTGCTTTTCATCTACAATAACAAATGAAGCATATTTTAATTTTGCAGTGGTACTATACTCAGTTGAATCAGAGCATCAGTGCAATAGTTTACATTTTAAATGTGGCTGTAAATAATAGAAAAGGACCAGCAGCAGCATCCGTGACGGGTGCTTCAGAAAAGAAGGCTATAGATATCCAGCGAAGGCTAAAAATAACTGCAGGATTGTACCTGTAATTGAAAATGGATGTGGAGGGACAGAAAAGAACAGAGGGTTCATTTTGGTGTCTGACTTTTCTTCAGTTTGTCTTTCATACACAAATATGTCAAGGAAAAAAGACTTAGAAGAAAATTGTTATAGAGAAAGAAAGACAAGTCAGAATGTGGTCACACATAACGTCTGAATCTTGAATCGATTCGCTTTTACTGAGCATGGAGGCCAAACATGCCTGAAGATACTGTTCTTATAATGGCATCTCAACAAGGAATAGAACTGGGCATAGTATGTAGAGAAAATCAAATATCACAATATTTTTGCAAGTACCTATAAATCAATATTGCAACGTACGACTTTTAGTGCTTTCACAAAATATCTAAACAATTACGTTTTTGATAAATCATCTTTAATTATGTTAACATAATGAATAAGTGGGTAAAGGCAGATTATAGAACAGCTAGAACAGTCATTGAATTGATCCCTTATCACGTATTCACACGGAAGTTTGTTTTGTATATCTCTTTGTGGTTGAATGCACTTTTTGTAAGTCACTTTGCATAAAACCGTGAGCTAAATGAAATGTAATAAAAATTAACCTGCAACGAAGGTTTCATAGGTGCCATACCGGTTAGATTGGCTTATTCCAGGGTGTCCGCGGGGTCTTAAAAAGTATTAAAAGTTGATAAATCAATTTGGCGAAAAATAAATTAAGGCTATTAAAAAGTATTTTCCAAGGTATTACATTTTGTAGCTTGTTTTCAATAAGTATATAAATTGTCCAAAGAGGTTGTATTC